GTGACAGGTCCACTCGGGGGCGCACCCCGACCTCCTGCGCCACCCCCGTGCCCCGAGCCCCCTCACCTTCTTGAGTCGCTCCATCAGGACGCTCTTGTTGCCGCCCGTGTCCAGGTTTCGCTTCTTCAGCTCCGCCCGCAGGTCGATCACCCGCAGTTCGCTGAGCCGCCGCGTCCCCGCCTCCGAGGCCCGAGGCACCACTTCCCATTATATCTAAGCCCAGCATACCCTTTGAAATACACTGTCTAAAAATGTTTGGCAGTTGCAACCAATTTCTAGGCCTGTAAATAGTAGCCTGCAGTACACACACAGGATGTAAACAAGAAAAATGCACACCCTAAAGCTTCACCAAAAAGTGCCCTAAATAAGAGTGGGAATGACAAATACTGAGCAGATAAGCTGTACCCCAATCTCAAGGGCCTGGTCTCTGCTGACTAAAAGCTGAAACGGGGGTTGTGGGGGGGCAACAGGACAGAAACTAGAAAATCAAATTTTAGTTTCTCACATAAAACCTAATTCCAAAATTTAATCTTTCAAAACACATCCAGACGTCTTCCACAATTTTAGCTACTCTTTACTTTTGAAAGGCAACAGTCACTCTTGACTTCCCAGAATTAGTCCCACTCTTGCAGACTCTGGAAAACAATTGGTTAATTCTTCCTGATCACTTTTACGTAATCTTGAGGACCTAATTTCAACTAGGACACCATGATGATGAAATACTTCAAATCACTAACCGGGAGCCCAAACACCTCCAAAGGATATGCTAGCTCAACAAACCTATAGGTCTATCCTCTGTCCCTGGACTCAGACCACCTACCTGTTCCTTCTCTGGGCATTGGTTCTGAAAACGAGGAAGGGACCATTGCTAGAGCTACCCTATATGATAAAAGGCTAATCTGCAAATTATCCCCTCCGGAGTTCGACCGCTCGCTATGACGTGCATGGACCACCAGGAGGCAGCACAGAATGAAGGAAGGCCCTGATCAGCCCTGATCAGCCCTGATCGCCGACCATGCCTAGGGACCCTACCCATACACGAATTTCGTGCACTGGGCCTCTAGTGTTGGTATAAGCATTCTCTCTATACGAATGAACTACTACCAAAGCTTTCCAGACAAAATGCTAATTCCATGTAGTTTTGATTTGACATAAGCTTTAATCCAGACATTCAGATAGATTTTTAAAACACCTGGCTAAGGTTCAGTTTGTCTAATGATGTAAAGATCCCCGTTAGGAGCCAAGAACATTTGGATTCATAAACCTTAAACCTCAACAGTTTTAAATGAGCATCTACATTAAAAACTTTTAAACTAACTTAAGTTATTTTATAGCTATCGTAAAACAGGCTTTCAGACCATAGTTGTTGCCTGGCTGGTATTACTCAGTGAGACCTATGAACCAAGAGGTCATGGTCCGATTCCCAGTCACGGTCACGCCACTTGCCTGGGTTTAGGGCTTGATCCCCAGTAGGGGGAATGCAGGAAGCAGCCGATTAATGATTCTCTCTCATCATTGATGTTTCTATCTCTCTCTCCCTTCCTTCCTCTCTGAAATCAATGAAAATATATATATTTTTTAAAAAACAGAAGTAATTGTATGTTTCCTGCTGTAGACCAGTCTCTTGTAGTCTGTATTCATTTGGACAGTCCGTGTTCATAGTGAAGTATGGATCAATACAATAGCAAAAAAAATTATCAATGTTTTAAAATTAAACATAATGTAGCTCTCTTTATGAAACCTAACTAAAAAATGTAACCTTTCAAAACACTTATACCATACAAGTTTTAAAAGTTAGATACGTTATAGAAAAGTTTTCCTTCCAGGAAAATCTACTTAAAAAGTAAACTGAAATTGTTGAAAATGCTACAAATTAATTTCTTTTGACTTTCTAAACAACTGTCCTCTACTGCCTGAATTATATTGTCCTTATCACTGTTAAACCTAATAATGAGGACATTTGGTTAAAGCCTCTTGATCACTTTAATCCAATAAGTAATTCCTCCCTACAATAAGGAGAGTAAGGTTTCAAAGTTTTCTGAAATTAAGTCCTTCCAAAAAGTAAAAGGTATTATCCATCAAGGAATTAATGTAGGGGCATGCCTTAAATATATCTTGAAAACATAACGCTCAATGAAAGAAGGCAGACAGAAAAGGCCACAGACTGTATGATTCTATTTATATGAAATGTCCAGAACAGGCAAATCTACAGAGACAAAGTCAATTAGTGCCAAGGGCTGAGGGCTGGAAAATGGGGAGTGACTGCTAGTGGGCACGGAGGTCATGAAAACACCTAGAATTAGACACTGGTGATGACTGCAGTCTTGTGAATAAGCACTGCATTGTACACTTTAGGTGAATTCTATAGAATTTGAATTATATCTTAATTTTTAAAAAATCACACTAGTAAAAACATAGGCTGAATACAAATACTCTGACAATCTATTTTGGACCATAGAGAAGCTGAGTTCTATTTGGTCTTGGGTTGTTGTCATTTTCCTAAAGTCCTATTTTTTTAAACCAGGAAGGAAGCCAAAGCAGGTGCTCAAACCAGTCAGGACAGCTTTTAGAGTGTCTTACTCTAGTTCTTTTTCAATACCAATGGCAAGAACTGAGATGTTTTTAGCTTGTATTTTAATTTTACTTGGTGTCCTCCTCCAGCACCCTGAGAGTCACTTGTTAGCTGGTGAAGAGCAGGCCTAATTAGGAGGTGGAGAACAATGACAGCTGAAGACATTCTCCTCCAGGCCGGGAGGGCAGAAAGAGTGCTAAAAAACCAGGTCTCTAAGTAAGTGAGCTCCCAAACACTCGGACCTCTAGCAGCAGGAAGTACAGGTGGATACCTTTAACACATCTCTTTGCTGTCTTCCTGTTCGTGGCTTCCAATGTGATGCCAATTTCATCAGGATCCTGCCCTTCTTCTTTAAGTGCCTGTCAGGAAGAGATGGATTTTACATTGTCAAGAGCTGCAGGGCACACATTGTTTTTAAGTAACAACTTCTAACTCTTCCTTGCAAAGAGCAAGTCTGGTTCTGCTATCTGGGCTTCAAGACCACAAGACACAGGATGAACCCAGCACAACTTGGTTCACTTCTAACTTTCCTTGCAAAGAGCAAGTCTGGTTCTGCTATCTGGGCTTCAAGACCACAAGACACAGGATGAACCCAGCACAACTTGGTTCTCTCTGCACCGACGCCACACGACACTGCCCCTCCCCACCCCCGCACCCCCTAAAAAAAAGGTGTGTGAAAGGGTGTTCAGAATCAGGGTCAATGACCAGTTCCAAATTGGCCCCTAACCTTGAAACTGCCCAACCTTCTAGTTTAAGTTAATATAACAAATAATAACAAGAGGCTTGTACTTGGTCTCCATGGGCAATGGGCTCTGAGCGGTGGTCCACCAAGCCATCTTTGACCTGGGGGAGCGCGGGGAGGGAGGACAGACAGATCGGGTTGGGGAAGGTACCTCGGTGCTTCCCGCCTGCCTGGCACAAGGCTGGGGCTCACAGTAAACTCACAGCCTCCCCCCGCCTTAAGAAGTTTGTTCTGGTTGGAGACACGACAATCCCCCATTTTCAAGTTTGTGTTATGTGTGGTGTTGAGGGGAATAAACAGAGGATGACAGGAGAAAGTGGGGGAGGGGGAGCTGCACGTTACTGAAGGTGACATCTCAAACAGATCCAAAAGACAGGGGGTCGGCCAGGCCACCCGCGAGAAGAGCAGTCTGGCGTCGGGTATGCTAAGTGCCGAGGCGCTGGGGCAGGTACAAGCACAGCTCCCTTTCCTGCAAGATCTCAAAGGTCCTTCAGTCATCTGTTCTCCAGGGAGGGAAACTGAGGCTCAGAGACAGACAGACACTTGTACAAGGTCATAGCGCCCAACCTAAAACTCGGGCCTGGGAGGAGTCAGGGGCCACCATAGCGTCTAAGGCAGGCAGGCTGCCAGCGCACTTGAGGCGACGACCTGGTAGGAACCAAGGCACAGAGAGGGACGATCACGGGCCAAGGTCACACAGCCAGGCCCCCACGTCCTGGACAGCTCAGGCCGGGGGGTCCGCCAAGAGGGAGGCGGGCCGCAGACGCCCGGGTCCAGAGGTCGCGGTGACAG